TGACCCCAAACACACAGCCAGGGCAACTCCGTAAGAAGCATTTCAAGGTCCTGGAGTGGCCTAGCCAGTCTCCAGACCTGAACCCAATAGAAAATCTATGGAGGGAGCTGAAACTCCGTGTTGCCCAGCGACAGCCCCAAAACCTGAAAGATCTGGAGAACACCTGTATGGAGGAGTGCGCCAAAATCCCTGCTGCAGTGTGTGCAAACCTGGTCAAGAACTACAGGAAACGTCTGACCTCTGTAATTGTAAACAAAGGTTTCTGTACCAAATATTAAGTTCTATTTTTCTATTGTATCAAATACTTATTTTATGCAATAAAATGGAAATTAATTATTTAAAATGTGATTTTCTGGATTTTTTTTTATTTTTTTTTAGATTCTGTCTCACAGTTGAAGTGTACCTACGATGAAAATTACAGATCTCTCCATTCTTTGTAAGTGGGAAAACTTGAAAAATCGGCAGTGTATCAAATACTTATTTGCCCCACTGTAAGTGGGCAAACTTACAAAATCAGCAGGGGATCAAATAAATATTTCCCCCACTGTATGTAACAACATTTTTGTTTCTTTCAATTCACTGAATTATAAATGATAAATCATTTAGATATAGTATACAAATATGGAGATGTTGTTACAATGTTTCAGCAGTTGACTTTATCATCTCACTTTATCATCCCAGCCTGCAGTGAACCTGTGAGAAGCCACTGGGAGGAGCTGTGAATGACAGTCAGACTGCAGACGATTTGTGCTGTGTGTAGTTTGTAAGGTTTGTGCTGTCTATTTCATGAGCTGCATGTGTTGGCATCTGCTATTTGTGCCTTTGTGAAACAGGTGTGCATACACAGGCATGCACTTAATGTTGACTGTCTATGTGTCTATTTGTATGCACGTGTATTACCATGTTTTACGCAGCTCTGAGCTCAGTGCTGATTGGAGGATAGGCTCTGACTGTGTGCTAGTCATCTAGGGTATCCCAGAGCCATGGAAAGAGAGAGTTGCGTCAACGGAAGTCCAAAACGCTCGATCGTCACGTGATTCACGTAGACCTCAAATAGTTCCAGGAAGTTCATAGCGGGCAATTGAAATACATTGAGTTGGAGAGACAGAACTGTGATTTTTGGTCATTAGTAGACCATAAAATAATTTATTTACATTATTTATAAAATAATGTATACATGTATACGTAGTATATATATGTAGTTATATCAGTGTTGTTTTTAAAACATAAAATCTGCTACTATTTGAGGATTAATGTGGTCAGCTATCCTTACCTGCCTTGTTAACATATTTTAGGCTGAA